ATATAATTAAAGATAATAATATGACTAAAGGTGAACCTTTTACTTAAAAACAAAGGAGTGTAATGCTTAAGTTCCTTAAAATATCAATTATAAATTTATTTTCAATAATGTGGATGGTTAAATGTCAATTATTGATTGGTTTAGAAATCAATCAACTAATACTTTTTGTCACGTCTCTGTAGATAAATTTATGAGTGATGTTTTATATAAATAACTATCATTACTGAAAATGACTATTATTTATAAATAAAAAATATTATTATCACATCATTCTTATAATATTTCATGTTTAGATTTTTTATAAGAACAAAACTTTTCTTTTATAAAAGTGAATCGTTTGTAACGTGACATATAGTTTTCACTTATATGGGTTGTATATTTTTATCTTACATATGTATCATATTATGTAAATATTTTTTTATTTTTTTGTGTGTGTACTTAGCGTGGATTTTTTTTCCAATTAGACAACTGCCAATACATTTATAAGATTGCATGAAGAAACCAACTTGATAATAATAACATATATAGAGTTGAGTGCAGTCCAATTCTTCTTTCTAGTGATGTTGATCAGAATGGACAATTCGGGTTGCCAAAGCCAATCAGGATTTGGTAACTCATCAGTTAAGTAATTTTTGAGTTAGGTTTTAATTCGATTTTTTTTCTTTCTAATTTTGACAATATATTTTTTGAATTTTTATAAAAAGATGTATAAAAAAAATAAAAAAATAATGTGACCCAAATAAATATACTTATTTAGCTTATGCTAAATAATGCTTGGATTTTATAGAGCAATAATCATTTATTTTTACAATTTTATTTTATCATATGATGTTTCCATTTAATTGTTAGAATAATATTAGAGATTATACAAATATTGTGTTAACAAATAAAATAATAAATACAATTTAATATATACAAAAACATGATAATATTATTATATTTTATAACAAAAGTATTAAACAGCCACTCAGCCAGCGACAGTCAAGGGATTCCAATATATAAAAAATATTTGAGAACTCTAAATCAAGAGCTCTAATGGGTGTGCTCCACTCATTGATGTAATGTTTTGATTTTTTTTATAAATAATGTTTGGGAGCTTTAATTTGAGAGCTCTAATGTAACTCTAATAATGTGAAGAATTTCATTTGAAGAGTGAGCCCACACTCCTCTCTCTATCTCTCTCTACTCGCCCTCTCTTTCATTTCACTAGAGCTCTAGTATTAGAGCTATGTATCATTAATGATCACCACTGTATATTAATTACAAAAACAAAAATGCTTTAGACCACTAATTAATGGTGGCTCTAATGATGCGGCAGTACCCACTGCCACATGTATTTTGTGCCTTGTTTTTTTTTTTCTTTTTTTTTTTTAATTGCCACCTCACTAGTGATGGTATTAGTGATGGTAAATTAGTGGTCTATAGCATTGCTCTTTTAATAATCTCTTTTGGTGTCTAGCTCTGCATTTTTCCCTCTATCCGAGGTCAGAAGTCAGACTTTTTTACCTTACCACATAAATAGAGTTCTATTTAGAACTCTACTAGTGGAGCTCTATATCTTCACTATATTAATTATATACAAATTTTGAAGGTGACTGGTGAATACCACTTCTTCTTCTTTTTTAATTAAAAATCCTTTTATACCATCAAATCACATGGGAAAATATTATTTGATTTTATTAATTAATTAAAAATTATCCCGTTCCCTAATATCCAAGATTTTCATTTTTAACTTTGGACCACCCGTCCCAATTTCATGCTTAAACTTTCTGTTTCATATAGTGTGAAAAAACTTGGAGAACTACAATTCAGTTGTATAAGTTGAAAAAAAAAAAAAATCAGATCAGTGATAAATTTTACAAATTATAATAATTAAAGTTTTAAGTTTTTTTGGGAGGATTTGGTGATACCCCCTCACTATCTAATTTGTCTTTCAAAAGGACGAGAATTATATAAGTACTTTCAAAACCCTTTAATATTTTAAAACTTGTTTCTTTTACTATATTACTCTCATATCTATCACATCTCCTATTAAGTCATCTTCACTATATATTTTAGAGTAAAATTTTACTCTGTATAAAAGTAAAATTTTACATTCTGAAACTAAAAGTAAAATTTTACTCTGTATGAAAGTAAAATTTTACTCTATATAAAAGTAAAATTTTACATTCTGAAACTAAAAGTAAAATTTTACTCTGTATGAAAGTAAAATTTTACTCTGAATAAGAGTAAAATGTTACACTCTGAAACTAAAAGTAAAATTTTACTCTGTATAAAAGTAAAATTTTACTCTGAAAAACTAGTAAAATGTTAGACTCTACACAAAAGTAAAATTTTACTCTGTATAAAAGTAAAATTTTACTCTGGTTCAGTCAAATGAAAAAAAACAGAGCAATAGAACCAGAGTAAAATTTTACTCTGGTTCTGTCAAATGAAATTAGATAAAAAACAACAAAAATAAATAAAAAACAAACAAACAAACAAAAACAAAACAAATTAATCAACAAATCAACATATCTAATTGAGAAAAAAAATTTCTAAAACTCGATCAACAATCACAAATCTCAATGAAAAAAATACATGTGTTCAACAACACTCATACACACACACACATATATATATATATATATACATATACATATATTCAAAACTCAAATCTGTGTTTAAAAAAATATGTATAACCAAACAACTCCACCCGCACTCTTCTCCACGTGGTCATTGCGAACTCGTGGTCATCGCAATTCCAATTAGAATTTGAAATCCAAAGTTCTCATCGAAGTTGACTCAAAAAACAACGAGTCACAAGAGAGAACCCAATGTCAGATCGCGAAGGACTCCAGTTCGTAATCGCGAGTTCCAGAAGCTTGAATTCAGGTTGATTGTCGAATCGGATCAATTTTGCGATGAAGTCCTTGGTTTCTTAACAGACGCAAATTAGATTAAAGCTTCAAACTAAGCTTCAATTCAAATACACAGGTCAGATTGTGATTGCTTGAACTAGGTCAGTGTTCTAGGTCAAAGATTGAATGAATCTTAGGCTTAGATGAACTCGATTTTGGCTGGCCAGAGTCATAGAGACCAAGAAGGTAGAGCAGGTGGGAAGATTTAGTTGAGGGTATAATAGTCTGAAAAAATATTTAAATAATAAATTTTGTCCTTTATGCAAGATTTTATAATTATGAAAGGGTTTAGAAAATTTAATTTTTTTCTTAGTCCTTTTAACAATGAAAGGAAGGTAAAAGGGGTTTATAGTCAAATTCCCTTTTCTTTTTTATGAATCTGTAATTATTTTAAGAAGATAGCGGCGAACTATAATTTCCCTAAAACAAAACTTTAGCAAGCAAACCATGCCTAATTGTTGACCTAACCAAAGCTAACATTGGTGGAATTGCTGACTAGTAACCACCCTAAACCAAAATGATTTGGTAGGAGAAACCCAAGAACATGTGTGATCATTTAATGTCAAATTCATATTTTGATATTACATATCAAAATGTTATAATTTAATAACTGTATTTCAATGGTACAAATGTCATTTCTTTTCTTCACAATTTTAAATGTAAATATAATATGTGAACTTATCGTAAAAGAGGGAGAGAGAATGTGAGTTGTAAATTTTATAATTATCAAATCTTATCTCAAGTATGACACAGTTTGACATTGTTACATTATGATAGCTCCTTTCACATGGCGTCAAATATATATATTTTTTTTTAGATAGTGCCAAATTTCGATATCGATAACGTAGACTGTTTTAAAAAGATGGTTAAAAATTAATTTTTATACTTTTTAAATTTTTTTCACTATTTTAAGTAAACGGTGATGTAACCTAAAATAAATTAAAAGTTGATTTTTGACTTTTTTTTGACTTATTGTCAAAACACCCAAACTAGGATCTAAACTAAGATTAGACCCGGGCAATAGCCCAAGGAATGTGAAGTCACAAGTTCAATTCTATGGGAAGACATCGACCTCAAATTGAAATCTATGGAAAGACATCAACCTATGTTGTAATATAACATATTAACAGCTACCTTCAAAACACAAATGCAAAGTCATAGACAATTAATGAAACTCACAAAACGAACTTGTCCCAAAAATCGATGTTATTTATATTCTACCCCATTTACATAAGATGACAACATGAATTCCTGGCTAGCTATGAAACAAGGTACTTCCATAAATATGTTATACTTAATATTTTAGGTCTTGTTTGAGAAGTGACCGATTTAGTTAAAAAGTCAAAAAGTTATTAAAAAAATTAAAAAGCCAACAACTCATACCAAAAAGTCAAATATTTCATTTTCTCTCTACTTTTTGCACATCTTTTCATAAAAAACTAAAAAATCATCTCAAACATACTATTTTTTTTTTACATCACATTTTAGTCAAAAAAATCAAAAAGTTACTAAAAAAACATATTCCCAAACGAGGCCTAAATATTGATACTTTATATAATACTTCTGCATACATACTGGATACACGAAACACATACTTAAATTTTTCCTTCTAAATTTTTGACGTATCTAGAAATACTTAATTATACCTAAACCGTACCATACCTCAATTGAAAAAATATTTTATAAAATCAATTTCATTAGACTTCCTTATTATTTTTATTTTTATGTTTAATATAATTTTAAAATTAAATTATAATTTATAAGTTATTTAATATAATGACCTTTTTTTATAAATATTTAATATAATGACAATTAATTTTAATTTATACCTTTACTTTTGGTATTAAATGTAAATTATAGGTTAGATTTTAACAAATTTAACCATTTAACTAATTTTTACATTACTTCAAACTAAAAATAAAAAAAAATATTATAGCAGTACCTAGCCATAGCCACACTATATTTTTTTTAGATTTTACCATACTCGTATCGTATCAATACCAGTACTCATACTCATACTTCACAGCTGGCTAGGAACCAAAAGGGTTCTAAAATACGCTTCAAAATATCTCTCTGCACCCAATTGTACAAAACGGTGTATTTAGAAACTCCCAAACCAAAACTATGACGTGCTCAACTATTTAGTACTCCAAAATGATATATAGATTTTGTGATAACAATGTACAAAAACATCAGGTTATTTACCACAAAAAATAAAATCCAAAGATATTATCCATTTATAGTTTTCTCATCCTTAACTATGTTCATTGATTCCGATTCAGCCACCAGTCTCGCGTACTCGGACTGAATGTCACCTAGTTCTTTCCTAAGTTGTCGCACCTGCACCAAAATTGACAAAGTAATTGTAACTGAAATACAAGAAAACTATCAAAAGTTACATTTCTAAGCGTGCCAAAGCTAAAGGCAGTTTTGCTTCCTTAATTTGGTTGACAAAATTGAAGCTAGGGCCTGGACAGTGATCGTAGGCTTCTGTCAAACGATGACCTACACAAATTTTCTACAGCTGGCTGGATGTTTTAAAATGGACAACGTGAAATGCCAAATTTGCAAATCATAATGGATTGAAAACAGTAATGTGAATTTCTTTGATTTGCAATTCATCAAATGATTTACTGTATATAATGTGAAGTACCTTTTGAGTAAGACATTCCTCGCTTCTCTCCAATTCCAATAACCTGAAAAACACAAACGAACAGTTTTATCTACAAAATTTAAAGTGAGGAAGAGTACATTAAGTCAGGTGTGGACCATATTAATTGTAGATGTTTAGTTCAAGCAATAGTGATGGTAGGGGAGCAAGTCGGGGCTGGGCTCAGACAGTCAAGGGTATTTCAAAACTAAAGAATTGTAGCTGAGCTGGAACTTATCCTATAGCCAAAGTTCATCCACTCATGTGAATAACAAGATTGATGATCAAGACCGACTTGGGATGGTCAAAAAGAAGAATTTGATTAAGCAAGGACTTTAAGAGCATCTCTAACAGAGACGTTAAAATGTGTGTTAACTGACAAAGAGTGATAAAAGTGTGACTCAATTTTGTGTTAAATGTTCCTATATTTAGGTAGTGAATGGGTGCTGCAATGGAGGAACTAAAGTGTGTGTAAACAACAAAAGTAAAAAGGATATATTGTGTCAGGTCCTCTCTCTCTCTCTCTCTCAAGTATTCTAGGAGGCTCGCTGCAGAAAACAAACGGTTTAGTCTCTGACAGTGTTTGGAGCTGTGCTAGCAACTGCATTGGAAGGAAGTAATTGCAATTTCTCGCTAACTTATTTAAGAGCTGGCACTAACAAAGTCGTTAGTGTATCCATCGGATGCTTTAAGACCACTAGCCAAAAGTGAAGCTAGCTCAAACTACACATAAGCAGGAAAGCCCAATGCCATTTTGGCTCATAGTGTGAGACATACTATATAGTGAATCCTAAACTCTTGCTGGTGTTGACGTTGCAAGAGTAGAGGATCAAGTTCAGACAAATAGAAATTCGTAAATCTAGACGATCCAAATGGTCCAACCTGATCTACAGTAAGCTCCAAAAGTAATCATGCAAAATTACAACCTGTTCTGTACTTACTGTGTCTGGAGCTTTTCATTTTCTTGCATCAGGCTGGTAAACTCGTCGTCCTGCAACTGATTTTCATGCTCAGGGGTAGGCTACAATACAATACAAACAAGCAAGTATTAGAGAATCCAATACCTCTTTCAGTAGATACCACGAATAATAAAGAGATAAAGCGGTTGACAAGCATAGAATATGGACACAGAGTCACGTATAAATAACAAATAGAATACTTCACTTAGCAAAGAAAAAGGGAAAACAATCCACATAAACAAACATAAAACAACCAAACATAAATTCCCCACCACATCAGATAGTTCTCATAGAGTTTCTTCAGCTGTGTGTAGCAAATGTGTTCTTTTACTACTTGGGAAAATTTACTACTTCTGAAATATGGCATTCCAATGGAAGTAGAAAATGTTGTTAGTTTATTACTTTTACCTCAATTTATTAATTTTATTTATCAAAAATGCTAGAGACCCTGAACGAATTACCAAATATTTTACACAATACTCACATGGACCCACACCCATGTGGGTATTGTGCAGAATATTTGGTATTTTTCTAGGGTCCCTAGCATTGCTCAGTTTAATATTTAATGGTTGAACCCAACTTCTCAATCAGTAACAGAAAAGAGTATCAATTCAGCATTTCAGAAAGATATTTTTTTGGTGGCAACCAAATAAACAAACCATCCCCCTGACCCTTTATTACAAGTGGTTTATAAATAACTTTGGTCCATAAATGTCGGCACTAAGCACAAAAGATGGCATTCCAATTGATTCGAACCATGATCAGCATCGTAAACAAACCTGATTTACTCCAATGTGCTGGGTATCAGTTGAATAGGACCTTGATCCTGTGTGCCTTTTTACATGTTCGAGTTCCCCTGCAGGATTTTGTTCTTTCCTCTTTGAAGGAGTGGCTACCGTATCTTCAAAAGATTCAACTGCAGAAGAAAGTGGTCCCGCATTGTCAGTTACAGAGGACCTGTGATTCAGTAACACAGGTTGTTCAATGAAACTATGTGCCCTAAATGAACGTGTTTCCTGAGAAGGCTTGGGTGCTGGTGGAGATTTTTTCATTTGCTGATAACCAATCAATCCGCAATGGAAATTCCTACCAAGATTCAGCAGAAAAATGCCTTAGGAATAAGATGCAAATAGAAATAAAAACAAAACTCATACCTAGGACAGAGAAGAACTAAGAGTATCAACAATCAGAAATACATCACAAGGAAACCAGTCCAACTCAAAACTCCATACTTATTTTCAAAATCATAGAGTTTTGATACTTTGAACAATATAAAGTGATGAATGATGATTAAAGTTTTACCACAATATTACTCGGTACTCTAATGTTGATAAAATATAAATATAAATCAGTTGAATTTATCGTTGCTGATAAAAACAAGAATCATTGAAATGCCTGTGATATTATCTAGCCATTAGAAACTAACCCAGCTAGCAAGCAACTCACCTACATTTGTCTTAATGTCATGAAATGATTGTTCAATTTGAAGTTTGAACAAAAACATCTCTGTTTGACTTTTCGTGGAATTAAATAATCCAAATTCACTTCCCATAATTTTCACTGGGATAAGGCTTAAAACCTTGCAAATGGAAGCTTACCAATATTCCAATGTCATCTCCTTTAATCGGGCTTCAAGCTTTTGAAAAAGGGAAGTCTTCTCAAAATCTTGCTTATTGTGAGTAGGCTCAACAAAATTTGCTTCAAGAACACCTACAAAATACTATAACATCACTCATCAACTATCCACTAAAACTGAAAAACTTGATGTAACAAAGATAAGTGGAGCAATGATTATCACCAACAATTCCTCTTCCATGACTGCTGGTTGTTTCCTTGACTACACGCCAAAATGGCTGCCATAGAAGATACTAATGAAAGTTAAGCACAAAAAACCTATTAAGTGCCCATTTGGGAACCTGGCCTTTTTAGTGGATTTTTGGCTTTTTAGCTTTTTTATGAGGCAAAAAAAGTTAATGTGTTTGAAATGGATTTTCTAGTTGAATAGATAGTTGTGAGGGGAAAAACAATTGATTGATATGTATGACGTGATGTTTTGCTAATGGGGTTAAATTTGTTGGCTTTTTGGCTTTTTTGCCAAAAAGCATTAAATAAACAAATAGCCATTGCTCCAGTGAAATAGAAAATGGAGCTCTCTACATTTTCAAGGATCTTCTTTTCCTTTTCCTTTCCCTCCATATACACCACATCAAACACGAAGAGGGTGCTATCGAGAAGAGTGATTCTGCTCTAATGAATCTTACAACTTATGAGATGATTTTAAGTTGTAAGAGAATATCCCTCACCAATATAAGACGGTTCTTATAGTAGACATTGAACCCATGTATATTTACACGTGGAGCTTCCTTCAAAAACCCTATAGTAGTAACAACTGCCTGAAAATAAACCCAACAGGCATTGTGAGAGAAGGGGCTTCCGATTGAAACAATAGAGCATTAGATAATAAACAAGAACAGACTTATGTTAGTAATAATAGTCAATCTAAAAGCCCACACCATGTCCAGTCTCTGCCAAATATTTTTAACAACCACAATTATTCAACAAAGCAAGCATGTGATGCATGAATTTAAGGCAGGCATTTAAAAAAAGTTTGAAACAGACGCAGTATTGTTCTCTATTTATATATCTATAAAAGAGCAGATATAAGATCTTTAGTCAAAATTAATGAATCGTTGCACGGGTGCGGGTACGAGAACAGTACGGGTACGAGTACGGGTACGCCGATACGGCAAAACCCCAAAAAAGTAGGGTACGGCTGCGGTACGCCGATATTTTTTTATTATTTTTTTATTTTTTATAATTATGGTTAAAAGATCCAACCTACAAATTGAAGTTAAATATCAAAACTAAAAAGAGAACTATAAAACTAAAAGACAAAAATATTAATATATTTGAATTCAACATAACCAACACCAATGCAGTCCATAATCCAAGCAAAGGAATAACTTGGTTCTAATTTATTAATTTATTTGTGTTCTAATTTATTAATTTTTTTGATCTAATTTTTTTTTTGTTTTAAATATGATTGAATAACTTGGTTCTAAATTTTTTTGATCTTTTTTTTTTTTTTTGTTCTAAATATGATTGAATAACTTGGTTCTATACCTCTCTAATTTTTTTTTGGTTCTACATCAACATCAAATTATACCTCTCTGAAGAAGAAACAAGAAACAAGAAAAAAAACAAAAAAAACAAAGATGAAGAGATTATACCTCTCTGAAGGCGAAGAAGTTGTACCCGATGCCGTGGGTCGAAGTCGAAGACGAGGGTGATCTTTGGGTCGAAGTCAAAGTCGAAGTCGATCTCTGGGTCGAAGTCGAAGTCGAAGACGAGGGTCGAAGTCGATCTCTGTGTCGAAGTCGAAGACGAGAGTGATGGTCGAAGTCGCCTCTTTGCTTCGATGAGATTAGGGCAAAAGTGATGAGATTAGGCCAAATTCGTATATACATTTTTTCTTTTTTTGTTTTAAATTTTTCTTAATATTGCTCCGATACCCCTCAATTTTTCAGAAAATTTGATTTCAGCCCCCGCCGTACCCAAAACATACCAAAGGCGTACCCATGCTGTACCCGAGCCATACCCATGCCGTACCCGACTGAGGCAGACGTACCCGACTACTTTTTGCCGTACCCTCTACACGTGCAGCCGTACCCGCACCCGCACCCGGTGCATGTACGGCACTATTTTTGGAGTACCCGTGCTTAATTGATTCATTTATAGTGTTCTTTCTTCTTGAAAATAATATATTTAGAAAATATCACTGTTTACTTGAATTTGAAAAAAAACATGTTCCTGTAATTAATCAGCTTGTGAAGTATTAATCAACTATACAGACACAACCATTATACCATAAAACCATACAGGAAGCGGCTACAGCCAAGTGTGACAGAAATGTAAAACAATTTATAAGATGCAAGTAGTGACAACTGTAATGGACATTCATAAACAAGCTAATACAAACCTCCATGTTCCCGCCATGAGGCTTATACAATATAAACTCAGGAAATTTTAGATCATTGGCAATATTATGATGTTCGACAACTCGTCCCCGCAGAACTATTTTGAAGCTTTGAGGTACCCGTAGGTACAAAATGGAAGAATATACCTGTGTATCTTGAAAAAGAACTTGATTTTAAAACCATGAAGGGAAGAAGAGACCACTCTATTAATCAACTTCATAATGTAAACTATAAATTTACACGGAGTGAATAATGGTAAAGGTTAGCAATATGCTGGTCAGAAACTTGATTTGGACGGCAACCAGTTTGAAGCAGCTTTGGGTCTGCAATAACACGAATATCCTGCAACATGGTATTACTTACAAGTAGGCTACATGATAAACATAACTTAAAAGATCCAACAGAAAGGAGTAAGAGCAAAAGGATGAAAGGTACCTCCGCATCCAAATCAAAATCTAGTTCCATATCCCCATTGTCATTTAACCAAAGATTGTATATTACAATCTTTGTTCCATGATTCCCTATATCATCAAACTGCCCACCGGGTTAATAAGGATATCAAATTGCACGGATTGAAGCTTGAAATGGTGGGAGAGACATAACAGATATTGATACATCAAGAAACATGAGAATTTCTGGCAGTTCCCTAATGGAAGTAGTTTCACGTTTAAAATTTATATACATAACTAATAACATAAAAGTTCCATGTCTACAACAGGGAGAAAAATTAGTGTAGGAACAAAAAACAAACAAATAAATAAGTAAAACAGAAAAAACATACTTATTCTTATTTTGAGAGTTCATATAAATCTTAAATGTTCATTTGAAAATTTCATATAGTCTTATCACACACGTAATTAATTCAAATTTTTGACTTGAGAACCAAACCCCATCCCATTCTTTATTTTCCGTCACTAAGCAAGGAGGCTAACAGACTTAACAACATCTCAAATATCATCAGCAAAAGCAGCATGCAAATGAGAAACATGAAATGGTCATCACTAATATTAATCCTATTACCATTATTACTGTAAAATTCTAAAGCCAAAGTGTTTTGAACCTTACCTGCTTCAGCATTATTTCTTCTGTCAGATATGGAGACCACTGCAGTAGCACAGACAGATTAGATGAAAAATGTTCTTTTCCATAAGAAAGTATGGGTTCCAATTTTGTAGTTGATTCATTGAATTCATAATCCACCTGTAATAATTTTTTGCAAAAATACCTAACCATGAGAAGATAGGAAGTTGTAGGGTGACCCAAAGGAAAGCCAACAGTTAGTCAAGATAGATGGATCATGGAACCATGTTTAAATAGACTCTTTGGATATCTGATGCAAGAATAAAGCGCAGGCCAGGAAAGCCCACTCATAATGTGAGGCAGAAAGCAAAGAATATATGAATCTGTTTGTGGAATGTCGTCTAACTAATTTAATTTGGAAACAGGACCCAAAATTCTAACCAGCCAAGATAAGACATCCAAACAGGTCATCAATGGCAGTACTCAATTTCAGTTTCTCAAACAGTCATTGATGGATTATCATGAGACTACTAACCCAGTTCCTTTTTTTCTCAATAGATGTTCGCACGCGCATTTATACAGTGACAACCAGAAAGCAACACATTGTTAAGTTGCTATCAGCCTATTAGCCTATTATTTTTTATCTCCACAAGAGAACTCCCCAAAAGGTGGTTTCAGGCATGTCTGCAAGTGTGCCAGATGTGTAACGGATGGATAAGGTAATTCATACGCCTAATTTTCAATTCAAAGAATTAGCACAGATTTTTGCAATTATAGTCAATTGGCAAAACATACATTGAAATAATCTTTAGGGGAAAGAAAAAGAAAAAAAAGGGTACTTATACTTAAATGTCCAACTCACCAGTGGTACTACTATTCTGTCATGACCTGTTTGTCTTAAAAATGTGTAAGAGAGGAGTCCAACGCTTTGAGTCAGTGTCCTGGTCATGAATACAATACCAATTTGAATAGAATTCCAAAGTCAACAAGACATAACCAAATAGCTTAAACAGAGATGACCAGAAACTTCTATATTGGGATTGATCAAAAGAGAAGTATTATCAACCTTAAGGAAGTCGAATACAAGAGCTACGGACCTATATAATAATCCTACTTTGATTACGTTATGGAACAAATACCAGTTCAAGAAATGATTCCACATGTATCAATGATCACATTCTCATTATAGATTATTGTATCTCTTGTTCTCTTTCGGTATCTGAATAGATTATTATAAAGTGAGTAATCTGACAAAAACAATTCAGACAGGTAAAAGAGATAGGTTCTTGTGCACAAACCTCTCTCTCAAGTGACGGGTACACACAACAACATCTGCTCCAAGTCTCATAGAACTTGTCTTGAACCCATTTCCATCTGAAATGCTAAAACCAACCAATTAGTACCAAAAGAAAGGAAAGCATGATAAAGGTAAAGTTAACAATATAGTATCCATACATTGCCCAATGGCGGATTTCATTTTCTTATCTGAAAATCCAAAGCTCATACAACGCCTTATAGTTTCCGGATCCATTCCACCACCGTCATCTTGTACAGAGCATGAAGAAACAGATAAACAAAAATTTAAAAATAAGAATTTTATCCTTGTTTATGAACAATAAACAAACTGGAAAGTTTCCAATATTATATTAACATCCAACTGTGATACTCGAGGAAGTTTCAAATGCATAATTACCTTGAATGAGCAAGGCTGGATTTCCATCCCGTGGATTTGTAGTCTTGTCTATAACAACGAAAGTAGCCCCATTTTGAATCTATTCCACACAATGCACATCATTGAATAGTTATAAATTACCAGAATTGAATTGTGAACCATATGCTACAGCCTCTTTTCACATTAAAAAAGATAACATACTTGAGTTGTAATGTTCACATTAAAACAAAAAAGGAAATGCCAATGAAAAGGGGAACTTAGCATTATGAAATGTATATCTTCAGAAGGAAAACATCTAAGAAAAGAGTGTAGCCTGAAAAACTTTTAATACTCTATGTTCTAAATAAAACATATACAGTATAGTTTTCCAGGTTGATTCATATATGGGTTATTTTGACTTTCTTCCAATCTAAACATTTCAATTCAAGACATAACAGAGCAGTTCAAGTAGGAATAGATAGGAATTTGCCTCATCAACAGCATTGTCAAGCAACTCTGCTATAGCTGCAAGCAAGAATCAACAAGAAATGGATTAAACATAATATTCATTAACAAAGAAATCAGCATTTTGTCAAAAAAAAAAATAAAACAAAACAAAACAAAGAAGAAATGTAAATGAAGCATACCACCAAATGCCCACTTATGTGAGGTGGCATTTGAGTGAAGGAACATGGGGTGCACACGTAAATGATTTTTCCCATCTGTAAACCAGATTCAGAAAGGTGCTCTCAGAAACAATTTGATCAATAGCAGAGCACAGAGACACAACTATATAGTTCTAATACAGCTTCTTTATTTACTTTATCATATTTTCTACTCCTATGTACCTAAAGTTTTTCCCATTGTCATTTCCACTAGATCATTTACTCACTCTTGCTAGTAAAGATTCCACAAGGAAATTGGGTTCATCTTGATACTTGATCTAACAATTGGAAGCCAAACTAGATAATAATCAACATGTTAACAACAATAATAGTAGTAATAATAATTAGTCAGATGATCACGTCACATAGTTAGACCATGTACACATTGACATCCTTCCCAATTCTCCTTTCTCTTTTGTCTGCATAAATAAATCAGGCAATTTTTAAATGTAATATTTGACAGGTCATACTTTTAAGTTGGGTTTTATAACCCTGTCCTGTGTCGTAGTTCCCAGCTTTCCAGAATTGCCGACAAATTGGAGCTGGACAAAAAGAAGGAACAGAAGAAGGGCCTGACTCATCAACAGTGGAACACCCTTGATCTAAAACACTGGAGTCATTTCGGCTTACACTATGCGCAACTGAGCTTCTGCTCTCCTCAGATTTTTGTCTTGCAGATTGTGTTTTGGATTTCCGATAAACTTTCTTGCTCTTAGTATTCCCTTTCAATTCAGTTGTTCCCAAAACAGAATCCAGCCCCTTTTTACTATCTGTTCCACTTGACTCACCAATCTTGTCATCATTAGACAACTCTACAAAGTCTGCAGAGTTCATCTTGGACACTGCAAAAGAAACAGAACAAGATTAAGATGGCGAAAAAATGAACCATTAAAATAAAGCAAAATTATAAAATTTGAAGTAGTGCAGAACTAAATTGAACAAGCTTGATGGTTCAATAGCTTTGATAGTTTCTATGAAATTTTCAATACTTTATCTAAAGATCATAAATGAAAATTCTATCATTTAACAAACATGTACGTGCACACCATATTAAGTGATTCTAGCTACCAATGACATGAAAACAGCATAAAACGAAAGAAGAAAAAAAAAATACAACAAATAGCTTTTCACTGAGCTTCTGCTCTCCTCAGATTTTTGTCTTGCAGATTGTGTTTTGGATTTCCGATTAAATTTCTTGCTCTTAGTATTCTCTTTCAATTCAGTTGTTCCCAAAACAGAATCCAGCCCCTTTTTACTATCTGTTCCACTTGACTCACCAATCTTGTCATCATTAGACAACTCTACAAAGTCTGCAGAGTTCATCTTGGACACTGCAAAAGAAACAGAACAAGATTAAGATGGCGAAAAAATGAACCATTAAAATAAAGCAAAATTATAAAATTTGAAGTAGTGCAGAACTAAATTGAACAAGCTTGATGGTTCAATAGCTTTGATAGTTTCTATGAAATTTTCAATACTTTATCTAAAGATCATAAATAAAAATTCTATCATTTAACAAGCATGTACGTGCACACCATATTAAGTGATTCTAGCTACCAATGACATGAAAACAGCATAAAACGAAAGAAGAAAAAAAAAATACAACAAATAGCTTTTCAAGAGTCCCAGCCAACACAACTACATGTTAGATCATCAATTGTCTCAAAAGCTTGACCTATGAGGAAATTGACCCAACAAGCAACACTCCTCATGTGCAACCCCATATCACATGTGGAGAGGTAAATAGACTGAGAGAACACTTGAACTCGATACCCATGTTAGAACATTAATTGTCCCACATGAAGAGACCAACCTATTGAGAGAACAAGATCCAGGGGTGATGAAACTTGATACCATGTCAGACCACTAACTGTCCCATGTGAAGAGGCAAGCCCACTGAGAAAAATTGAAACCACTAATTGTCCCAACAAAATTTAAGCAATTATGAAATGGGTCTATCAAGCTAATAGATGAGCTGCTGCTTTATCACACCAACACCAGATCACAAACATGCACGGTCATGGAACCGAAAACACTGCATCTGAAGTGGATTTGTCCTTCACATGCCCTATCCTACTGACTTCAATTCAAACACATGTAGCAACCAATAACCTCGAGCAAATAGAAAACCCGAATATTCATAAACTTAGCATGGCTTTGCATTTTTGACTGTTCTAATTTACGGAAATTTTACAGTATTAGCTACAGGTCCATAAGTTTGAATTGGCTAATGCTGTGTTTTGTTGGGGGATTTGAGGAGGGATTTGGAAAGAGAAAGGTAAAAGATGTATGAAACTATATTTCTAGGTATATTTTTTTAACATTTTACCTACTTTTTCCATTTCCCTTTCCAAATCCCTGTTCAAATCTCTCAACTTATCACATTGGCTCAACTAACAAAAATAATATAAAATAGGAACCCAGAACCAGTAATCAATTTCAACATGCAAACTAATATACCAGTCTATTCAACCATCCACACACACACACACAGAGATCAGATCACCCATTTGAGATAACTGAAATTCAAATGTCAATAAGCATGATTCATGAAATTCACATGAAATTTTTGTGGGGTTGTAAATCTAACAGAAATCTGCAGAAGAGCCGAATAAATCAACAAAATAATAAATACCCATTTAGCTGGGAATTACTGGATCACAAGGAATATTGTCAATCTTTCAGGTAAGTTTGCAGAGACCTCATAACTGGAATCCCCACCTCTGGTTCAAACTTTGAAGGGCAAACTAGGGAGACTAGCATGGGCAAACTTTGATGTGTGAAAGAAGAGAAGGAATTTCCAGGAGAGAGAGAAAAATGGAAATAGAGGAAGGGATGGTGGAATATTTTCCTCGGTTTGGGGGAATTTATGAGGGAATAAAAGAAAGAGTGCGTTGTTCATTTTGTAGGGATATCCACCTACTGTAGATTATTATCATCATAATTTCAGCAGTGCTGCTTAGGTAGGACTGAAAACTAACAGAATCGCAAATAAGAACCCGTACAAATTTGATTTGTTATTTTTATTTTTAATTTTTTTTATACTACTTTTTTTTTTTTTTTTTTTTTTTTTTTTTTGTATTTTATCCCGTTTTAGTTTGTTAAAATTTTAATAAATAAACTTAAACATTATAATATTTGACCCATTAATTGAAGAGAAAATTAGTTTAAAATTCTTCTCCCATTTTTAGTGATAGAAGAAATTCATAATATTATTTTATAATGTCTAAGATCCCTCAATCCTACACCTACATATTACAGAAAAATTTGACTCTCTCAAATCAAACCTCATTTCTCTCTCTTTCTCTCTCTCTCTCTCTCTCTCTCTCTCTCTCTCTCTTTCCTATTACGTCTCTTTCTTTTCTCTCTAAATCCAAACCTCACTTCACTCCCTTCAATGACTGCTCAAAAGTCCTTTGAGCCTGGCCTCTGTCTTCTTCCCCTACTGCCTCGATGCCATGGAACTGGAATTTGAGCTCGCTAGTCTCTAGTACCGGAATCTCTCTGACGCCAACAACTCCACGTAGCCCTTGTTGTGTCGTTGCTGCTAAGTCGTCGTTGTGCACGGATTGCAGTTCTAGTACGCCCCTAATGCCTTCAATACCATGTCCTTGATCTACAAAACCAAATTCATTTACCTAATTCACTTGATATGCATGTGTGTGTGTGTGTGTATATATAGAGAGAGAGATTAATTGACTGAGAAATGAGAGAATTGATGGCAAGCTTGGTATTTTGAGTGGCATGAGAGTTGATTTGTTCAGGTTGATTGAGGGATTCATCGGCGGGCTGCTTTAAACTGGCTACGCATGTCAGCATTCTCGATTCTCTAGTTGCTGATATATAAACGTATATATATCAACTTTGCTCCTAGATACTATTTCTCTCTCCAACACTCCTCCCATTCTCTCTCTCTCTCTCTACTTCATTATTTTTCAAAATTCTAAGGAATGAATGTCTAGATACATGTATTATGATATGTCCTCTGTGTTTGATTTATACTTTCAACTCCAAATTCATTGTTCTTATTACATTTATGGTTCTGACTTTGAATTTTCTCTGCATTAGCAATTTTTTCAACAAAATCGACATTTCTCTGTAGAGAAACAGAGCATATCTCTGGTTTTGAGAGAATTTATCTGGGAAGTCAATTTCTCTTGAGAGAATTTCCTTGGGAAGTCTAGAGAAATCCTCTCAGAACTAGATCAAGATTGGACTGATGATGATGATAATGATCAAGTGGGGTTGAGCATCACTGCTAAAGCTGGATTACACAAGAAATCAAGTGTTGATTCAAATATGGAGTTCATGAATGAGATGGAAAATAACAGGCTTTTCTAGGAAGATTGTTTGGCTTATTGAGTATGTCTTCTTCTTTTTTTTCTTTATTTCTTCCTTTGTAGAATTGGAACTCAAAGCCACTTTTTGGCCAACTCATTTTCTCTAGAGAGAATTTCTGTCCAGAGAAATTCTTTAGGATTTTGGCCACTATGTAAATTTTCTCTGAGAAATTCTTTGGGAGGTCCAAAGAAATTTCCAGAATTTCTCTAGAGTTGAGAGAAATTCTTTGAGAAGTTCAGAGAAATTCTTTGGATTGAGTTTTCTCTGAATCGATGTTAAAGGACCTTAGACATTATGAAAATATTGTCTGTCTTTTATGCTATAAAATCTTAATATTAGGGACCTTAAAAAAAATCTCCTTAATTGAACTCATTTAATATTTATTTAAATAATAAAATAAATATATTATTTATATATTTTAAAAATATAAATGTAAATAATGACTAACTGTAGATAATAAATTTATATAATAGTTGTGTTAGATATTAGGTTAGTTTGTGATGTGGATTGGATTTTTAACTTTTTTACCTTTTTGGCTATTTTAGTTTGCAGTTAAAAAGTCTCATTTGTGATGTTTTTTAGTTTTTTTTTTTTAAAAAAAACTTTTGTGAGTTAAAAAAAAGAAATGATTATAATTTATATATGACGTTTTGTCTTATTAGTTTTTTTAGTCTATTTTGTCTTTTTATAACTATTTTAGCCCCAATCCATTATGCCAAATGAGTGTATTCTTATTTTGGTAAAATGTTATAATTTTTCTTTCAGTGTGTTTATATACATTTGTCGACAATGCTACGTAACTCAAATTTTGTGGCTCAAAAGTGGCTCAAATGGCCAAAACGACATCGTTTTGAGTACAGAACAACATAAAAATGGCCAAAACGACGTCGTTTTGGCCATTTGAGCCACTTTTGAGCCACAAAATTTGATCTACGAAACATTTTCCATACATTATATATAATTGTATAAATCAAAATTTTAAGAAGATTTTTTTTTTTAAAGATCCCTAATATTAAGATTTTGTAAGATAAATGATATACAATATTTTCATAGTAATTAAGGTTTGAACATATTTTATCTGTAAAAATTAAAATTTCCCTGAGTCATGGCAAAATTTCTCTATGAAATGTTGAGGGACCTTAGTTAATAAAAAAAAATTGGACCTCTCCTACTACACAAAATTAGACAGGGACATTTCACTAATTCTTCCAAGTTTCAATTGTAACTTTAGTTTTATATACAATTGTAAATTTGTAACCTTTTTGGCTTGTTAAGGCTCGTGAACAAATTCAAATTCAAGTAAAACCTAAATCAACTCAACTTAAGTTCAATTTGTTAAATTTTTATTGAGCTCGAGCTCGAATTCGAATTCGAATTTGTTCAAATCTTAATAAATAAGCCTAAGCATATTGAGGTTTAGTTTGATTTGTTTGCAGCCCCAGTGTTATGTACACAAAAAGAATCCGACAAATTATATGTATAAAAAGAATTAGACACTTATGAATATAAATCAGTGTGTTTGGTTTCAGTTTTTTGGAAATTGAGCTTTTTGTTTTTCGTATTTTTTAATTTATTTTTAGTGAACATTTTTAAAATCTTAAGTAAATTTTTTACTTTTTTAGATGCACCTTACTTAGATGTATTTAAATAGTAAAATATTGATGAAAAAATATTTTAAAAAAATAATAAATACACAAAAATATGAAAAATGTAACGAATTTGTTTTTTTTTTTTTTGTATTTTTGTTATTTAGTGAATTTTTTAAGGATTTTTTTCACAAATATTATATTTTTAAAGTGTATTTATGTTAGGTGTGTCTAAAAATTAAAAAAAAAAAAGAAATTGCTTAAAATATTAAAAAAATTATAAAAAATTAAAAAGTAAAATTTTCTGTATTGGATTTTATTTAGCATTGAGATTATGATATCTGGACAATTAATAAAAATATAAAAAAAAATATTAATTTTAATGAAAAAGTTTGAATTGTATTCTTTAATTTTTTTTTTTATATTATTATTTGTATGTGTGAAGACAAGAGGCTCCAGATGTTCACATGAACACGATCAAATTTTATGATATTATAATAATTATATTTTATTTATTCTAAGATCATTATATTAGTATATGTTAGACTTATTATTTTGATAATTTATTTAATTATATTTTAATTTATTTAAAAGAGAAAAATATAATCCAAAATTAATTTTGATGATTTATTTAATTATATTTTAATCAAAATTTATTTTGATGATTTATTTGAAAGAGAAAAATAAAATCAAAATTTATTTTGTCTCATTATTTCTCACCTAAACCTTTATCCTAAATGTTGTTCGAATGTATTTAATATTTGATTAAATCATGAGTTCAAACAGCCAAAAATAAAGGTTCAAACAGCCTAACACAGTAGCAGGCCAAAATGTTCAAAAGGTTTAAGTGGAAGATATTCAAATTAGTAATGATGGAAGTACAATGGCTATAAACGGCTATAAAGGTTCAAAAGGCCAAAAGGTTCAAGTAGAATATATTCAAATTTGTAATGATGGAGTAGAAGATATTCAAATTGGTAATGATGGAAATATAACGGTTATAAACGACTATAAATTCAAATGACTACAACGGCTATAATTTTCATTATATATACTAAAGTCTCTAATGTAAACAATTTACAAAAAAAACTTGAAAATATTTTTTGATCTATAATCACTCACATTTTTTCTCAGAAATTATACACTGAGCCTTATAGCATTAAGCTCATATTTCCTATGTGAGATTTACAGAAAAATCAAAACTTTATTTTATATATCTATCTTTGAGAGATATTTATTGTAAACTTTCTTTGAAAGCAAAAATACCATTTCATCTTATAAAAGTATTGTAAACACTATGTTCTTGCAATCTTGAGAGTGATTGTGAATCACTTAAGATTTGTAAGGGTTTGGACTTGTGAAGTCTGTGTAAAATCTGTGGAGGATTGCTCCATTTATAAAGAGGTTGCTAGCACTCCTGTAAAGCTAGAAGATAGTGAAAAATCTCAAGTGAAGCTTAAGCAGTGGACATAAGCCGAGTTGAAACCAAACCACTATAAATCTATTTGCTTCTCTCTCCCTTATCTCTTTATTTTATTTTAAATTGCCATAACTATATTTCACATTTTTACTGTGCTAAAATCATTAACTGACATAGTTGTTAAGACACTTGTTTTAATTATTTTTATTTCATTAATTATATTTATCTATTGTGCTAGTCATAATTTTTATTAGGGTATTATTAATTTTAATTATAAAAAACCTAATTCACCCCCCTTTTTAGATTGTCTTTTGGGTAACAGTATAAATACCCCATTTTTTATGGTCCTTAAGATTTAGGCACCACTGATTAATCACTCAATGATGAATGTGTACACTCGCCGAATGCTTGACTTCCTCAGCAAGAAACCTCAGTTTTGAACCTTCAAACCTTGTGCCTTGTTCTGGACCAAAACAGTGATTTTTCAAGCCTGAGCCTCCGTGACCTGTCATTCAGTAGTGTGGCATGCCGCCCACTAATGTGGCCTACCGGTCACTATTAGTGGCCG